GTAGGCGCTTGAATTTAATGGTAGTAGTCAGTTGCGAATCTTTTGAGAAGACCAGTATCTAAAGTCACCTATAAGTATTTGTTCTCACTTTCAAACTACTTAATTTTAAAGATTGTTTATTCTTAGTCGACGTTCTGGAAATTTATATCAAACCCAGATACTAGCAAACATATTATTTTGTTAGTAACTAAGTTCTCCATGATAGCTCCTACTTGATGCATTTTCGATGAAGATAGAAGATATAAGCTACTGCTGAATTGATACCAGTGACTTTTAAAATACTTATCTAAAGCTTCACTTGTTGAGCTGTGAAACGCAGGTGGTACTGAGCTTCGAAATTCTTTTATCTATCAAATCATTTGAAGAATTTCAGAAGGAAATATCAACAGACAGTAATAATGAATATAAATAAGAGTAATGAGATAGAAAACAGATAATACGGTACCGTTACCAAATGAGAATTAGGATTGAGGGTTGTTGATAAGAATAAAGCAGTATATTTGTTAAACACCAGTGAGTAAAAAATTGATTTTACGATGTTCCAAGACTCAGTACGAGTCCTTTGTTCAGAGAATAAATAACCGAGTTAAATTAATATAAATTTAAATTATACAGAGAAACATAACAAAATCTTTGGTACTGCTAAATAAGTTTGATTATGCTGATGTCATAATGTTCAGATCAGATGTGTGATATATACATATATATTCGCGAAAACCTGGATGCGTATGACAAGAGTAATATATCTTGACGTGAAGGAACAGATCCAGTTTGTGTGTCGATGACATAAGATTTGAACAAACCAAGTATAATTGTTTAGAAAGATGGTTTAAGTTGCATGGATACCAACATCTTTTATATTGGGTGCAGTAGGGTTTAGGAACATATATGGGAAGCTTCAGTTACTCGCCTATTTTTATAGTTCGGAATAGCTTTTAGAATTATTTTGATAGTTTAACTATCGACTTGATGGGTGATGAAAACAGACTAATGCAATCACTGATTTAATTTGTAGATCCTCGTTTTCCATAAGATTATTTGGTATCATGAGATATCATGAGAAGACTACAACATAGAAGAGATCGTAATCAAGACAGCCACTTCTATAGGGACAATTCTGTTTATACGTAGAAAGACTAAGACTAAAGCATCTCGAAAAGTTAGCTGTTCTGTAGAATACTTTAATTTTGTTACGTTTTAAGACTTGCGGCAATGCTTCTGCCATATCATGGCGGTAAGGTAAGCCTTATGATCAATCCATGAAATTTCATCTAATTAATTACTCAACAATAAATTGTTTTGTCATAGTGAACTTATTACTATGTATATGCAAATTATTGAAATACAAGATATTTATCATATTACTTTATTCCCTCTGCTTAATCTTCTTTGAATGCAGTGATTTCAGTAACCCTTCTGAATGTAAATGAAGTCAACATTATCAATATGAATGTGTAGGTTCAAAGTACAAGGTCATAATTAAAGTTTCATTCAAATTTCTTTTAATTAAATAGTTTAAAATAAGAAAGTTATTGTATTCATTTTCACCTTCATGAAAAAACTTGAATTAGAAACTTATCTATCTATCTTAGAGAAATTCCTAAGAATGTCTTTTCAATAACGATTTATAATCTAATATCATTCGTAAAAGTATATTGATTTTGTGTAAGACAGTAAATTAACGACAATCGGAAACACAGAGAATCTCTTCAAGCTCTCTATAACTACACAAAATACTTGTAGAATATAGATACTATTTTATATGGATTTTTATTGTCAGAATGGGTTTTAATTAAGCGCCTGGCACGAGACTGTTAGGTCATAGGTTCGAATCTCGCGGTGGGCGAGATCGTGGTTCCAGGTTTTCCATGGTGGTCTAGCCTCAATCGACTCATGATTTCAACCAATGAAATTATATGGATTTATTCATTAATTTATATAAGTAGCGATTTAACAACAAGAATTTCAGCAAGTTGATTTATTCGATAACCAATTTTTTCTTTAAAAAAAATTAGATGTTAGGAAAGAAAACAAAGCACTTTTAATCAAAGCATTTATAGTTGAATACAATGAAATTTGTTATTTAATTGTATAGAGATATATGAATAAATAACTTTTATTCAAAGTAAGAACAACAGATATTCGTTAATGAATGAACCCACATTTTATCTTGAAAAAAAGAAAGAAAAAGAAAAGGAATTGTTTCTATCCGTTGTTGTTAAGCTGACCAAATGATTTATGAATATGGAAATGTCTTGAAAGGTTTATGTTAACCGTATATATATATATACATATATACACGCGTCAGACAAATAAATCTCTATGTGAGATATTAATGACAAGAAATATGTAATGGGAAAAATAATATTTCATTTTGTTTAAATGTATTTATTTAACATAAATAAGGGTGTAAATATCATAATCATAAAAGCCGAATATCATTTTTGTGTACAATAGATCATGTCATCAATATAGATCTAAATAGATTTTGTCACATGGAAATTTCATTTGTTTTTTTCTTTGTAATTGTGAAGTTTTCCTTTTTTATTTTAACTGACAACTATTCAGAACCACTGTTTTCATTATTATTATTATTATTATTATTATTATTATTATTATATTATTATTATTATTATTATTATTATTATGTATATCACTACAATTTCGAGTGTTATTGGGAAATTCGGTGTTATTATAAATTTAGTTGAGTTTACTTAACACTTTTTTGAATTGGAAAATATTATGGATGGAAGTGTTCCTTACACTGATATGAATAAAACTTTTCAATCTTTGTCCCTAAATGCTCTGGTACGGCTGAGAGTTGGGAGAGTCAACTCTCCTTCTCGAAATGTTCTCAAATGGCTACGTGCATACAACCACTGCCAGGGAAGTCCTATTCAATGCTTTCTCGTGGTAGGGGTTTTGATTACGAAATTGTGAGGATGAAGTGCGAATGTCCGGCGCTTTGTCCGGGTTGATGGATATGGAGGATCCACCTAAGGGAGTTGGAAAACTCTGAGCTCCATGATCTTGAAGGAAACAAATGACGTATGTACATATTGTTGGTCACCGAGTACCATGGGAATGCATCACCTGAAGTTGCTCCACTGCTTTTTGGATTAGACTTTTAGATCGAAGGCTCGGGGTATGAATCCCCAAGAAAGCCACATGCTTCGGTTTGGGCATCCAGGCAGTTTCCCAGCCCTCACATAAACTGAATAAATAAATAAAATAAATTTCAATCCCTAGTATTTTTCAATGTATTTTTTTCAAACCAATTTCAGTCCAAGGGAAAAAATGTATCCAAATACATTTTGCTTTGAATTAACTATCACTGTTTATAATTGTGGTTCATATTCTGTTTAACAGTTGATATGGGAGTATGAGTAGTTGATACATACAATAAAATTTGATTTGTTTATCAATAAAAATATGGAATTTACCATACTATGAAAACAATCATTATTTAAGTATCATCCATTATACAGTATTACTTTTATCATTCAATTCTAATCAGGAAACAAATCTTCTTTGTATTTCTTTTATAGCTCTTATACTTCTCTCTTTAGAAGAAACATAACCAGGAGACTGGATGATAATATACACTCTAGATCTTCATGAGTTTGACTAGTAGAAGAATAATCAGTTTATCACTTTTAATTCCTTGAACGGATTTATTTTCTTTTAATTGTTGAATTCATGAGTCAACCTAGCTAGACCACTATTGAAAACCTAAAAACATAGGATGGGCTTTTCTTCCGAGTATGGGACTCGTCAGGAGTGTGCATTCACAATTATGCATGCGGGTTCGTGGATGAAAATTAACTTGGAGCCCAAAAAATACCACCACAAATCGTTTCAACAACAAATAACGTAGTTTTTAAGCAAAAACTTCAGGAAGATCCTCGTGAAGACATCTTGTTCTACCAACCGTAGAGATACGGAAAATTATATCCAGTGGAATATCGATGAAAAAAACTTTTCTAATTATACAGACACTTAAAGTATTATTTGCTTAGTTAAAATCATACATATTTTGACTTGAGATAGATAAAAGTTTTAATATCGACACAGGCGCTGGTGTGGGTTCATTTTCGTCAAAATATAACACTCATTATACCGGAAAAAAGGAGTTTGAGCTGCAAATGTGAGAAGATCTACCTTCGTTGACTCAGCCACTGAGATCTTTACGAGTGATTTGTGATTTACGATCTTCTAATTGGTAGTCGATTAATTTACGTGAAACCACTCGTTCAAATGTTGACAAATATTTATTGACTATACAATTATTATTATCATTGGCTGTACACCAGAAATTCGAAAACGGATTCATTTTAAGGTTTCTTCGTGTAATACCTTAAGGTAATTATGAACATTGAATGATGCCAAATAACATATGATTGGTAACCTGTAGGAAATGTTAACCTTAGTAAGTAACATTTTCTCTGTGCGAAATTCTTCATTCGGAACATATTACAGTTTATTGAGACCTTTTTTACCAAGACAAAGCTAAGTTCATTATTCGAATTTCTAAGGTTGTAATTGATAAGCAAAGTGATTAGGAATTAAATAAAACAGTGTTCTAAATAGCTGAAGGAATAATAAATGCCTTTTTTGTTACCACATACCTCATTGAGTTTCGTTAGGCAGAGACTTAAATATCATGTATTCGTCTGAGATAAAACCTTGTTCTTACAAAATGATACCATTGTTCATCTCACAGTTAGTTAGCGAATTCAGTTATTTCATTTAAATTATAGCAATCTTATTGAGCACACTTTTAAATCTCTCTATCCATTGTAGTAAAAGATCGGAATTTCGGTATTTAACCCCCTACTTTAAATATGATTTTGTTTGCTCTAAATCTTTAAAAGGTGGATTAAAATAACTACCTTTCACTATAGATTCGTGTTATACGGGAGGTGATAACATGGAGTAGTTGTATCATTATTTCTACATTCATTTTATTTCTTTTTCATATCTAATTCATTATTAACTAGCTCCTCAATGTGCTGGATGCAAACAATTGGTAATGGATCGAACTATTCTACAAGTTCTTAATCAGAGTTGGCATGTTAACTGTTTGAAATGTATGGATTGTGGTACTTCATTATCAGAGAAATGTTTTGTACGAACAGATGAACTGTACTGTAAAGAAGACTTTTTTCGGTAAGTTAGCAATTATATATATATATATATATATATATATATATATATATATGTTATTCATATGAAAACTACCTACATTTAGAAATACATTTTTAGGCTATCCATACACCAGTCAAACGAACGAATACTTGATAGTTATCTTGAATGAATTACCATAGAATGGATTACACCATAATGTTGAATCATTCAGATTAGTGATTATACACTAAAAAAGTCGACCCAATATTGATTTATTCAGTATTGATAACCACATAATATTATTCTACTACTGAATATCATTTTCTTTTGTAAACTAAATACCCTTTTAATAGCTAAGATTAGGAGTCAATTAAAGCTAGACCACTGTGGAAAACCTGGAAGCACTGGACGACCGTTTCGTCTGTAAATCACTGATGACAATGGCGGATGTGTCACTCAATCTTGTCGATTAGTTGAAGTTAGACATTAACAACGTTGGATGCCGGCCTAGTGGTCTAATGTTTAGGCGCTCGCGCTCGAGATTGATAGATCCTGGGATGCGCACTGCTGAGGAATCCCACAATAGGACGAAACGGCTGTCCGGTGCTTACAGGTTTTGCATGGTGATCTAGCTTCAATTGACTCATGATCTTAACTATTGAAATTAACATAATATCCACCAAACCCCTTCTGATATAAATACCTTTTGGTTTATCAAATAAAATTTACTTATCATATACATTAACAACTACATGAAGAAATGTTGAACAGAGTTTTTTTTTAAAAATGGCACTTAATTAAAAAAAGAATTAATATCAATACGAATATTCGTCAAGATTAGAACGAATAGTTTGACAATGATTGGGCACCGAGTATAGAGAAGTCATTATATGTGAAAATTATATTTGAATTAATCTCAGTGATTGAAATTTAAAATAATTCCAACGTTTCGTCCAGCAAACTCGTCCGAACTTCTTCAGGATAATAATCAATTAGGATTATTACCCTCAATGAATGAATAATAATGCTCCCCTTTTCTCTCTCCTATAATCGATTATTTGTCAGTTGTGATAGTATAGTAGAATTTGCAACAAAAACACAACAAAAATTGTAGGTTTAATCAGTCACAATTATTTATTAGCTATTTTCAATTGTCAATTAAATAAAATTACACTTATTTAAATATGTCTGTGTATATCATTTTTATTATGTGGATGTAAAATAAATCATTTTAAAACAAGTAGATAAATGATATGAACATTGTACTTCATACTTAAACATTATTATTAGTAGTATTGTTATTAACATTTCTTTCATTTTTTTACACTACCACTAGCACTATTACTACTATTAGTACTACTACTAATAATAATGATATATGAACAGGGAACTAAGAATGAGAAAGGAATATTTACACTGAAAATAGAAATAAATAGTTTTATCACTTTGTAGGCATAATTTATTTACTCCTCAAAATCTATTCGAACATTAACTAAATTGGGATTATATTCTTTGAGGTGTTTTTTAGTGTTATTATTGTTCAGAGAGAGATATATATTTTTTTCTAATTAACTAAATGGTGTTTATCCATTAGAATGAAAAAGAAAGAATGGATTTGTTTTGTTTGTCTGTTTTTTTTGTGTGTGTATGTATGTGTGTGAACATTTTTCATTCATTAATTTTTCTCGAATTTTTACTTCATTCTTTTATTTATTTATCTATCAACAACCCCCTTTCATGGGAGATTTCAGTCATCACTTAACTGACTATTCGTTAATTATACCGCCCCCCCTTCCCTCCTTCCCTCCCTTCCTCATCGATAAATACAGACACACATGTAGATTATTTTGTTAGAATAAGATAGAAATTTCAGTAGTTTGTTTTCTTGACAGATAAACGCGACATTTTATTCATGCTCATTGTATTTATTATCGATATTATTATTAGTATTATTCATATTTGTTATTATTGTGGTGAAAAAAAAAAGAAGAAAACAATTCCAGACTAAATAAGGTGTCATGAAATTTATTAGATACAAGTTGTCTGTTATTTTTATAATTTTGGCATGAATAGAAAGCTTATTGATAATCTTTTACAATACAAACTAACTCAAATAAGGTGAGTTTTCTCATGTTTCTCATGTCAATATAAGAATATTAAAAATAATGATGAGATAAAGTTAATAAGTTAATGTATTATAGGTCTTAAATTATAAGATAGATTAGATTAATCCATATACATTATTAACCTTTATTCACGTGTTCATTTTATTATAAAAACATTTTGTCTTGTTGTCTTATAACACATATTGCTGTATATTTTTTTCCTTGATATATAATAATTACTATTTAAATGGTTTAGGGTCATATTCAGTTAGTTAATAGTGATCTTGATTACACACACTATTGTAAGATTCATTGAATCTATGATTATAGAGACAAATATTACGCAATGAAATTGAAAAAAAATCATATTTTCTGAAGAATAAATTAATTTACAGATCAATAATTATTAGTAGTTAGACGGATACTTTTAAATCGATCAATCAAATTTTCTTGATAATCAGCTTAATTTCAGTTTTTCTTCGAATTCAATACCGTGGTAGATAAATATCATCAGTACGTGGTCGTGGGGATTGTCAAGTTTTTGATTGAGATTATGAATCAATCTAGTCATGTTCTCTACAAACTTGAGATCTATCATTTATAGAATTCATGATTATCCCCAAAGCATGTTGATAAATATCACTTTCATAGGAGGAGTCAGTATGGCAATCACATTATTAAGTTGTCTTGGAAGCAAAAATGTTTCGATGTATTAATGTTTTTTTTTTCTTGAATCGAATTAACTCCAAGTGCTTGTTTCTGTTATAGAATAGTCATCAAGTACTTCTTCTTTGAATAGCATTTCATTGAACCGTTTATCTATGATCAGCAGAAATGAACTATAACGTTTATGCAAGCCAGAAGTAAAAAAGACTATATTTAACCATGATCTTGGTAAAACAGCTAACACAAATGGTAAATTTTCCTTTATATTACTCATTAATCAAAGCAGATATCTATCTGTAATTTTATAAATGATATTAATTTTCTTTAATTAATTATTTAGTCGCTTTGGAACAAAATGTGCAGGTTGTGATAAAGGTATTCCACCAATGGAAGTTGTTCGGACAGCTCAAGAAAATGTATATCACTTAGATTGTTTTTCATGTGTCAGCTGTGCTCGTATGTTAAATACAGGCGATGAATTCTATCTATTACGTGATCGAAAACTAATGTGCAAGTCAGATTTTGAAACTGCTAAAGCTCGAGGTAAAAAATATTTTTGATAAAAATCTAAAAATAATAAAATAATTTCAGGTAAAAATTTTTAATAGTTGAGATCATGAGTCAATCAAAGCTAGACCACCATGGAAAACCTGGAAGCAAATGCTCACTAGTGACTGGCTTCAAGAGGTATTTCCTGGAGTTCTAGTGAGAAGCAGTGAGCAGTAGAGTTCAACCGGGTCTGTTGTGAGATAGTAACTCACAGAAGAAAATGGTGGGTTTGTCACTCAATTTCGTCGATTAGTTGAAGTTAGACATTGAAACTGTTGGATGGCAGCCGGATCAGTGGTCTAGTGGTTAAGCGTTCGCGGGCGAGACTAATAGATCCTGGGTTCGGATCTCGTGAGGCGGGACTGTGGATGCACACTGCTGAGGAATCCCACAACAGAACGAAACGGCCATCTAGTGCTTCCAGGTATTTCAAGGTGGTCTAGCTTCAATTGACCCATGAATTCAACTATTAAATTATATTATTTTCTTGATAAATTTACACCCTTCTGAATCATGGATAACGTCCTGTATTAAATATAGGGGTATGGTATTTGAGATTAACTTGTGAGATGGTGGAGAGAATTCGTTGCTCAGGTGGATGATTTTGCTGGAGTTTTATTCTTCGTGCTGGATGGTTTGGTCTTGGAGCTTTCATCGTTCTTCTGAACGACATCATCAGCACAAACTTCAGATAGAAGGCTAAACCATCCATCTCAGAGAACAAAATTCCATGGAGATAACTTCTACCAAACTTGTGAATTGTATTTACAGGAAATGCAATGACTTTATTGTAATATTTAAAAATGTGCATATGTATTTATATTACCATTTGATCCCTTTGAATTATAAATATACTTAACTAAGTAGATGTATTACGCTACATCTATATTTTTTAGAAGCAGAATTAGACAATGCTAATAAACGTCCTAGAACAACTATTTCAGCTAAACAACTGGAAGCACTTAAAAGAGTTTATGGTGAAAGTCCAAAACCGGTACGTCATATCAGAGAACAACTTAGTGAAGAGACTGGTTTAGATATGCGTGTAGTACAAGTATGGTTTCAAAATCGTAGGTAAGTTTAATTATTTATTAAAATTACTAACTTCAGATCATATCAAAAATCGAGAACTCAAATGCCGAGTGAAAAATACTTAGGTTATTAGAAATATTATGTATAATGTATTTCATTTATTCAAGGTAAATATATATGTCAAAACTACAATAAAATAAAACTCCTGAATGATCATATTCCCAATGATAATAATGATGGTTATTTCAACGAGAGACCAGATGTATGTATGTAATTACTAATTTTTCAGGGATCTCGTAGAATAAAAGATAATCATTACCTTAAGTTCAAAGCTAAGAAGCGCACAACACGAAATCAATTACATATTAATGTAAACATGCTGGGGTTCAGTAACCGTTGGAATAGCTCAATGGTAACTTATTTAATTATGTCAATAAGTCATGTTAGTTCAAACCTATAAAAAACTACCATTCCCCTTAAGACTGCAAATACATTTCACTCTTAAATAGTAGAAAGAAAATGTTGATTAAGGGATTTCTGTTGGCTGATTTCAACCAATCAATATCGAAAAAGTGCATTATCACTTAGCCTACATTTCCAACTGAGAGATACAGCTCTATCATTCTTAAAAACTACATAATTTAAAACCATGGTCCACACAGTAAGTAATTAGTATAGACAAGATTAATTGTGATGGCTTAGTCTCACTGGATATGGAGCTGAATATCTAATGTGGCGCTTACCTAATCTCTACCAATACTAACTTCATACTGACTAAAATGAATATAAGATGTTATGTTGAATTAGCATTAAATTGAATAACTTCGTCTTTACAGTAAGTATAACCGTGGTACATACATTTTTTACGCTGCTTTTCTATCAATTTCATTTTTCACTCAAAACCACCTTCATTTTTACACCAACCACTGGTTAAATAAAAAAAGTACACAGAGTATTCATATCCGTCTATCTATCTATCTGTCTATCGTATTTATTTTACTGTCTATTTATTTTTATTTCTATCTCCCTTTTCTTTTCTCTCCATTCTCTCTCTCTCTCTACTTCTATCATCATTCTAAATTTCATTTATGTGTATGTGTACGTAATAAGAAAATACAAAATATTCCCCAAGGTAAAAAAAAAAGAGAAGAGAAGCATTTCTGGTTGATGAAAAATAAATATTTATTTCTACTGTGGTTGCTGCATTGCTTTTTTTATTGGCTTTTGAATGGAGGATGATGATGATGATGATGAGTGAATGGATTTCCAAAATTCATTCATTCATTCATGCATAGATTTTACATTTCCACTGGAATGCATAATTCATCATACAACCACCCTTGCAAAAAATATTTTAAAAAAAACTACTTTAAAGAATTTTTAGTTATCCATGGGGTTTTCGTTTTTCTCTGTCCATTTTTCACTTATTCACATATTCAATTGTATGCGTGTGAATTCTATTTTTCTTTTCTTTTTCTTTTTTCATTATCTACTCCAGCATATATAAATGTATATTAAGTCCTCTGTACTGTTATCGAATTATATATATTTATTTGGCTGATTATAAATAGACATGAAAAAGTTCTTCATCTTTTACTGTAAAAAGATATTTATTCCCTCAAGAGTTATATATATATATATATATATATATATATATATATATAGCAGTACAGAGGAACTAATGTAAGAGATATATTGTATAATAATATCTAAACTTTATATGCCAAGAAGTTTAATTATTCTAAAAAAAGGAAAGGACAATTTCACTGAGTATAACAAATCATTGTACAATTGATGAGTTCAGTATGTATTATGAATGAAAACAGAGTAGATTACTATTGTGAGTAGTTTAAACTGGTAGATGAATATTAATTTCATTATATTTGATGAATTTATGAGGGGGGGGAAATGAAGAAGATTCAGTGGTTTAATTTTATAAATGACTGATATAAGCGATATACATATATATTTAATATAAAGTAATATATAAATAAAATAGAAAAGTGACTAAAAGAGTTTAGATAGAAATGAAATTTTTATCATTACTGATGAAATGATTTACAGTCAATATAATCAAAATTAATTTCTGATAACTTTATTAAGTGTTTTCAAACAACGGATTTGATATTATATCTTCTACGGTAGTGGAATGGAGGACGCGTGTTTCATCCTATTTGGGACTCGTCAGATAGATGTACATGCATCTCAATTTTGATGTTCACTCTGAGACTTGAACTTAGTACCGTTCGCTTGAAACGCCATCGCGTTATCCACTTAGTTACTGAGTCTTGATAGCCAATAACAATGGGAAGATACAAGTAAACAACATCAAGTGAATATAACTTTACTTCATTGCACAAGCAGGTGGCTATCAGGACTCAGTAGCCAAATGCATAACGCGATGGCGTTTGAAGAAAATTATACTGGTTCGAGTCCCAGAGTGAACATCAACTCTGAGATTCAGGCACATCCAGCTGACGAGTGCCGAGTAAAACGAAACGCGCGTCATGGATTCCATTGCTAGCCACTACCAATCTTTGCTTATAAGGATTGTGACTTCAGGCAGTATCGAGGGAGTTCGCACAGGATTTACATGTGCCAACAAGAGACTGATTAATTGTGGTCTTAATTAACAATGGGAAGATACAAGTGAAATAACACCAAGTGAATATAATTTTTGTATTCATTGGGATTAGTTTTCAATGAACACTTTGAGTTCACTAGTTAAAATCCTAATATACTTATTTTCTTTCTTTTGACCCTAATTGTCATCTACATATTTGATGACTAGTTCAGCTTCATGACCAATTAAATGGATTATATAATCTAAACAAAAATAAAATCAATACAATTCATGATCTCAATCAAAAACTTAACAATCTCCGTAGTCCCTTACTGATAATTACCATCGGTCCACTAGGGACTAGATTCGTGAGGGAATTCTCTGAGTTCTAGTGAGAGTCCGTGACCAGTGGAGCTAATCCATGTCAGGTAAAGACAGGTGTCTACCTCAGACAATGAAAGATAGTCGCATAATTTCGTGGATCGGTTGAAGTTGAACATTAACTACGTTGGATGCCGGCTCAGTGGTCTAGAGGTTAGGTGTTTGCGCGCGAGATTGAAGGTCTTGGGTTTGAGTCGCGTGTGTGGGATCGTTTATGCGTACTGCTGAGGAGTCCGATACTGGAACGAACCGGCTGCTCAGTGCTTCCACGCTTTTAATGGTGGTCTATCATTGATCGACTCATGATCTCAATCAAAGACTTGACAAGCCCAAAACCCTTTATTGATCAATACAACTTTACCTCGATCTTGATAGATAAAGCTTCTTAGCTTATACTTACTGTAATTAAGGCTTTTTAATGTAAGATAAAGTCAGAATATATGATGTATTGACAATCTTTTGTTTGAATAGTATGTAAACATTAAAACTAATTGGCTAAATTAATTTCAAGATTAAATGTTTTTGCATCTTATTTATTAGGGCAAAAGAGAAAAGATTAAAAAAAGATGCTGGAAGGAATATCTGGTCAATTTCTGACTCTTTATTAATCAGTAGTGCAAATACAAGTACTAATAGTAATACACCTGTTTGTATGAATGAACCATACTTATTTTCAACATGTTCAAATGATTTAGATAAAAGTTCTGCACCATACTGCGGTGATAATTCAATTATACTAGATGATTCAACTAGTGGAGATGAATATCTATCTAAGGATGAATTTCAGGGTTCTGGTTCAAGTAAGTTTACTTTCACTTATACTCAAGTTTTTGAATTTAAGTGATGAAATAGTAAGATAGAAGTAAAATACCCTAGTAATCCTATCTAGTGTCTAGCTATCTACAACCTTCAACCGATTTTATTCTTATCCATCAATAGGACACAGTTTAGATAATTATTAGAAATGTTTGTTACTCACTGAGTGTTTTCATTTAATAAGGAAACAATTTGAAGATGTTAAGTAATTCACCAGCAGTAACTATGTACAAATGTTATGTGTTTTCGAGATTTATAAGATTATCCTTGATAAGTTCAAAAAGATATAGTATAATCAAATGGTTCACTTTATGAAACTGTCCCTGAAGAAACTTTTGAAGTAATAATGAATTTCTACCGCATTCTTTCTTTTAACATAATCTGATTTATAATATGATATCTTCCTATTCTTATAGTTACATTAATTATTGTCCGTATGATAGCATAATTCGATCATTTAAAATAAATTAACAATTCAATGACAAGGAAATAAAATATCATCATTCTACAGTATCAGTAGTTGAAGTTGATATCTATTCGTTCGCAATGTGATTTATGCTGAGAAGTCCCACAATAGAATGAAACGGTCATTCAGTGCTTCCAGGTTTTCCATGGTAGTCTAGCTTCAACTGACTCATGATCCCAACTACTGAAATTAAAATTACCTTTTTTACACTTGTCAACTTGAAAAAAATGTGGGTTTTTGACAGAAAAGTTAATTATTCTTTTCATCTTTACTAATATTCTAAAGCTAGTTTAGTAAATGTAGCATCGTAATCTCTGCTAAGATAAGAATGGATTCTACTCTTTGTATAACTTTGGTGTGTGCTACTTAAGTAGTAGAAAACGCTAGTCAGCAATAGAATGTTTGGAAGCAGAAGGTTAAGGAGATCGAAGAAAATATAACGAGAACAGAGAATGATTGATGTGGAAACGAAAGAACAACAAAGTCTGAGACGATTGACTGGTATTTTTAAAATGAAGTATTTACTGTATGGTTCTCAGATTTTACTAAGAAATTCGGTAATTTTGTGTTCAAATACATTCGATTGTCCCCACTTGTATTCTCGTTCAGTACATAACTACACTAAATCAGTAACAGGTGGTTTCAATCGAAGATTTATTAGTTTCAAGTGAGCTCTTAGAAGAGTAACGGAGATAAAGTTTTATTGGATAGATTTTATGATCCAATATTAGATTACAAATGTTTCAGTTGGTTTATGAAATAACTTTAATAAAGGGGTTATAGGTTTACGAATTCACAGAATCAATGGCTTCCAATCCAAACACTCCATATTTGTAATCTTTTTGCAAACTACTAAGTAGTTAGCTTTTGGAGATATTTATAACAATTGGACTAAGTTAATATTCGAAAAGTAACTTATGATAACAATTTTCAGTAAAAACTCTAGTGGTATTTAGATGCGGAGTTCTTGATTCCGATGAGTGTTACTTCGGTAGCCTATACTGTTTGACTTGATTCTCCCCTTATTTTGATATAAAATGGTGTCAGATTGAAAATACTCGTTAATGTGTCACTACCAGTGACACAAACACCAGAATTTAGGAATTACCATGAAGATGTTCTCTGTTTCTTTTAAGATAACAGATATAATCCATGTTGAGACTTTCTCTGGAGTAAAAAAAAGAACTTTCAATCTATGAAGTATTCCTAAAACTATTTTTCGTAATTCTTTACTTACATTTTGCTCATGTTTCATAATATAAAAATGTAAATTTCCATCCTCAGGTGATACAGACAGCAACTGTTCAGAGGAACCTGAAGATCTGAATCAGTCTTTAAATTTTTCTGTTGTATGCGATCCTACACATTCGAAGCATACTACCGATATACCAACCACTGAAAAGTTATCATTAAATAAAGATGAATTCCTAACTCATGACAATAAATCTGCAATTTTTCAGGCATTTTCAAAGTCTGCCTTATACGAGAACCATTCAGTTCACGATTTAGTTTCAACAAAAGCAGAACAAGTACATGATGTAAAGTTCCATGGTTCTACTCAAACATGGTTATCTACTCCACGGCCTTTTCAAAATCAAGGCTTTTCAATTGACAATCGGTCGTTCAAACCAGATAATGATAATATTATCTTAAAACACAGTATAGAAAATATCAGTATTTTAAATGAATCAGACAATAAAAATCATAGCATTTTACGTTTTGCATCAAATCCATTTGTTTCAAGTAGTATTAGCTTGAATAAGCAAGTTGTATCTAACAGTGAATTGTCAACAAAAGAAACATATTTACAGCCTGTTGACTTCTATCCTTATTGTCTAAATGCAAGCAGTCTTTCACAATATGGTATTCCACAATCAAGCTCATCATAAATAATCCTGCTTAAAAATTAACCCAATAATAATGGTATACCACCACACAAAATGATGTGATTCATACGATCCTTTTGTAGCTATCAGAATATATTACGGCAAACATTTTGCTTATCACTTACAAAACCAATAACAGATTATGGACACAAAAAATACAACAGTACTGAAAATCTTTTTTTTTTCAGTAATATTTAACAAAATGAAATTCATTATCTGAATTCAAATTTTTGGCATATTCACGATGCATTTCACTCATCCTTGTGTTAACATCTATGCTACTTGTCTCTAAACAATATTTCATTTTGTTGGGCAATATTATTCAATTTGTTCTTATGTATAAGTATTGCTTTTAAAGAAAGACTACCCAATTAGTTCATCATGTATCTACATCAGTTTAGATTATTATTATTATTATTATTATTTAATTTGGATTTAATAACTAAACATCACTTGTAAAATTGTTTTACAATGAATTTAAATTATGAATAAGACACTTTCATTTCAATTTAATCCTTCTAAAAAGTATGAGATAAGGTTCACACTTAAAATTCAGTTAACTTTACCTATTCAATTTCTTTTTTTGTATTTTAAAGTAATTTATTAGAACTTTCTTATTATTGTATCTCTAAAGTCAATTGTGTCTACTAATTGATAAGTTAACAATAAGATGGTTATCTTTTGGAGATGAAAAAAACAAACATTTAAAGTGAACAGATTACATAATTACATAATTTTTTTTCTAATAGAATTTGTATGGTTTGACTGTTAACTACCATTCGATTGACATTAATTTATGATTAATTCTATTTTCATGTCATACGGTTCTCAATAATAATAAAATTCTATCCCTCGAACTAGTCAAGTTTGTTTTATTTTTTTTGGGGGGGGGTGGATCTTTAATGCCTTATTTTCATTTACCACTAAGAATCCCACAATTTTGATTATGTTTATCATTCAAATGTTATAGATACTCTAGTAAGTAACTAGGGTGAAAATCATCCCTTTAATAAAACCGTGATTAAAGTGCACAAATGATAAAAGTGACTTCTTTGTTGGATGTTTCAAGATAAGAGACTTTCTATGGTTTAAAAGGGAAATTAGGAATCATGAGAATTATGAACACAAACTTATATGAAATATTTATTGGGATGAAGTGTAGTGCACTAAAAAGCTTTTTTTATAGTAAATTTTGACGAACAGATTACACATAAATGGTTTGCCAGTGATATAATTCATACAATCATTAGTATAGGGTTGTAGAAATTATTAAGTTCTTAGTTGAGATCATGAACCAATTGATGTTGGACTACCATTGGAAGCCTGGAAGCACTGAACAGCCGTTTCGTCCTATTATGAGATTCCGCAGCAGTGCGCATACATGATCCCGCACGCAGGATTCGAACACGTAACCTTTGATCACGCGCGCGAACACTTAATCTCTAGACCACTGAGTCGGCATCCAACGTTGTTAATGTCTAACCTCAACCAATCCATGAAATTGCACGACCATCTTCAATTGTACCAAGGTAGATACCTGTCCCTACCTGACTCGGTTTAACACCATTGGATGCCGACTTGGTGGTCTAGAGGTTGAGTGTTTGATTATCAATCTTATAGTTTCATTCAACCTGTAGTCCTATTTAAGTAACCACCGTAAGACTAGTCACTTCAGCACTAACAATTTTATACTATGTTACCAATATTCTTAAATTTAAACGTTCTAATTATAAAAGATGTATTTGGCTAAGAATTTACTAAGTTATTGAAAATAATATCCTTTGTTCATAATTCTGCTTCCTTTTTTTAGACTTCCCATGTTGAATAGAAGTGCATGAATAATTTATCAGTCTCACTGTAATAGAAGGCAAGAACATATATACAATAATGTAAAGGCCTATTTGATTAAAAGTTTATAAATCATAAGAGTTCAACTGAATATTCCTTACTCAGAATTAAACAAACAGCAGTAATTCACAATGTTCAATGAAAATTCAAAGTTTGAAATTAAGAAACAACTACATAACTCTATGGATTATAATTTACAATAATCTGGTACACTAACATTATGCTTCAAATATAACTGACTGAAGAAACATACTCCGTAAATAAAAAAACAAACGACTCATCCGAACCACTTAATATTTAACTTAATGGCATGATCATTTGATTGAAAATAAGATATTAGTAACTTGATACTCTCCTTACCATATCAAGCACTATACGGATAAATTTCAAAGCAAACCTACAAAATTTAGTAGTTTTACTCAGTAATTAAGATTTAATACAAAGATAGGATGTCAAATGCAATTAAACTTCAAGTTTGTTAAAAGTTGTTTGTATGTGTCTGTGGTAAATAACATAAATCATCTTCTTGTAAGTGATAAATACTAATGGTGAAGACTTAACATGTAATTCTGAATAGAAGTGCACAATTTGTGAAGTGAGTAAACATTATCAGATTATGGTTTTTATTGACTTTAACAAATTTGAATAAAAAAACTTCTAATGATATTAAAAACTTACTTACGCCTGTTACTTCTCGTGGAGGAGCATAGGCCACTCACCAGCATTCTCCATCCAACCCTGTTTTGGGCAATCCTTTCCAGTTGCTATTCATCCTTTCCATATCTGCTTCTATTTCTTGACGTAATCTGTTCTTTGGCCTTACTCTTTTCCGTTTACCTTCAGGATTCCGAGTTACTGATTGCCTCGTGATGCAGTTTGATGATTTGCGTAAACAGATTCCAATAAATATCGATAGTGAAAATAAAATGGTTACAGAAAAAGTAAAAGTAAATTTATAACTGAACTAAAACTCATCATTATCAATTATCGTAAAACCGAACTCATAAATTTAATCTTGATTGAAAAGCTCATGAAATAGCTAAGGTTATTGTGATAAATAAAATATGCAGAATTAATTCACCTCATTCTCTTACATCGAATTAAATTCAAGGTTAATTACAAACCACTTTCTTATCATCTTTACTTTGAATATCACTTGATCTAAGTATATGAAATACCTTAATCATATCTGCTTTCAGTAGAAAAAGATTTTAGATAAGTGGTAGTCAACTTCAATAAACTATATGATTGGGCATTTTGAAGTGGAAAATTACTTTATGTTATATTTTACTTGTTGAGTTAAAGTTACTGTCTTAATGCTTGTGAAACGTTAAAAAGAATTTTAGTGACATCACAAGAGAATTTAGATACTGCATAATAAAATTAAGTAAGTTAATTAAGAAAAACCATCCATATATATGTAATATCTACATTCAGACAAGGATTTTGTGGAGATTGTAGATTGCTAGGTCCTGGGTTCAAATATGGCGGGGCAGCATCGTGGATGAGTACTGATGAGGAGTCCCATAGTAGGACAAAACGGCCGTCCAGTGCTTCTAGGTTTCCATGGTGACCTAGCTTCAGTTGACTCATGAATTCAATTATTAAATTAATATCTGTATAGTTTATTTTATTGTTATTAAATAGATTGGTTACCTTAAAAGTAGTTTCCTAAAAGTTTATTATATAATTGTACTAAAAACACTGATTACTCTAAATTAAATCATTTATTTCATCCAAAAATAATTGAAGTTATGATCAAAGAAAAAATTTTTTATCTGTCATGTTCTTTACAGTTGAAAGCATATTATATTGACGTTTTATGACAACATTGTAGTGTACGGTGGCGCAATCTCGTGGATTGGTTGAAGTTGAACATTAACACTATTGGATGCCGGCTCAGTGGTCTAATGGTTAAGTGCTCGCGCGCGAGACTGATAGGTCATGGGTTCGAATCTCGAAAGGCGGGATCGGCGCACTGCTGAAGAGTCCCACAATATGGCGAAGCGGCCGTCCAGTGCTTCCAGGTTTTCCACGGTGGTCTAGCTTCAATTGATTCATGATTTCAACTGGTGAAATTCCTAAAATCTCCACAAAACCCTGTCTGATAATATTGTAGTTGTTATATAGCTTCAAAATTTCAATAATTTGTTACACAGACATTGTAAACCATTGCTTGATTGAGAAAAAAACATTTGAGAATCCGCTTTTATATCTGTGAAACTATTTGTAAACGTTCACCAACATATACTATTGTAAGAATGTGACCAAACATTATATGAAATTAACCTGGTTTGAAGTATTCAGTCAACGTGTACACACCAAGTACAAAGTTCATAATAAAGTTAATAAGTCATTGACATTTTATTTTATGTACTGGTTTTAATCAATATACCCAAAGAATTTAGAACTTATTCACAGATATCTTATTGTCATATTACAACCGTAAGTAAATAAGTACTAGAATCTGGGAAAATGCTCATCCAATCTAGATTATTTGACTCATTTGCATGAATATATCCAATACTTAGATATGCTTGGTTTGAAGATCATATTCATCTCAGTAAATTTCATACCGCCTATAACAGTTAAAGTTGAATCTAATGCCTTAAAAATCATGTAGACATACATTAATGTTTAGCATCGATAAGTAGGAAATACTGATCTATTGTTTTCTAAGAATTACTCTTATGAATTTTAAACACTATCTTAAAAATTTAATGATTGAATTCATGAGTCGATTTAAGCTAGACAACCATGTAAAACCTGGGAGCACTGGACGGCCGTTTCGTCTCAGTATGGGACTCCTTAGTAGTGCGCATCTACGATCCCGCTATCAACAGAATTCAGGACGCGCGTCTTGTCCCATTTTTGACTCGTCAACTGATGTAACTGCATCCCAGAGTTGATGTTCACTCCGGGACTCAAACCCAGTACGGTTCCCTTCAAACGCCATTGCTACTGAGCCGCGATAGTCACCACCTTGTGCAGTGGGGCAATCCGCACAGGATGCACATATACCAATAGGAGACTGACCAATCGTAATCCTAAATATCAACGGGGAAATTCAAACAAATAATACAGAATGGATATTTTAAGTTTCAAAGTCTTAATTTATTAACTATCTGATGAGTGAATCAGATCACAATTTTTAGTCCTAATAAAACAAGATCTATCAGAAAAAACAAGCGTTAAAGATCCTCAATTCAGTGACAAAAAGACAATTTTTAAAATACTACCATATAAATTATTTACTGTAGTTTTTCTTGTCATGTACAATTTAAATATCATTGTGTAT